ACATCAAAATTACCAGGCTTTTCAAATTATTTAAATCCCACGTCAAAACATGAACCGAACAAAAAATATCCATCTTTTTCACAGCACAAATGTGAATTTGGGCAACTAAAACTCAACTCGTTCTGTCAAATTTGTCAGCTTACTCTGTATATAAAGGTTTGACATGCGGCAGCACTAAATAATTGAAAATTACTTTATTATATAAATGCAGTTGTTTTCCAACTAGTTAGTTTAATTGCCACATTTATGTCCAAAAAGTTTTTATTCGCATGTCTTCGGTTTGACGTAAATATAACTTTTTGATGCTTATGCGCACTCATCAACCACTTTGATTCACACAACTCAACAAATGTTTATTTGCTTTACACTTTGCCGGCATGTTTTAAAAAGTTGTTGAATTAAATAAAAATATATTAAGCTAAAGGCTAGCAAAAGTTTATTTTTCTGCTGTTAAATTCTATAATAAAATGCTTTTTGTGTGTTGTAATCACAACCGCATATGTTGCTATCATTTACAGTTGGCACTTTTTTAAAGAAAAATCTTCACATCTGCCATATGAATATTATTTGCTTTTTTTGCATTAACTTCATACAAATGTCATATTTGTAGGCATATTTAGGTTGGCAAATATAAAACACTTGCTACTACTAAACATTGGATACCCACGTAATTACCCGAAATTGTAAAAGTTTAAACGGAAGTACAGAGATCCTCAAATATTTGTGATTTGCTTTATATGCTATGAATAGTATAAATTGTAATGAATTAAATGAATTCCGTCAACTTGAACTAACTAATTTAAATAATTGAAGTTGCAATGATGAAAAAGGGCCTTTTAAGCGACGTGTGCGTAAAAGTTGCCCGAATTTGTTCATTTTCTAATCTCACGGGTGGGAAATTAGGTCAAATCGATCAGGTAGTTGTAGCGCTTTTATTTAAATCTACTAACAGGTAATTTGGATGTTTAAAGAGGGAATATTTAATGATAATAAATATTTGAACATAAATTTCCTGGAAAATAGTCTTCAGACTAATCTGCATTTTAAGCAACAGCGCTAATCAAACTGTGGAAGAAGCAACACCAACTGATGGTGCTTCGTTGAAAATAATGAAAAATAAATTATTATTAAAATTTACTCTTTTGTTGAGATCAAACATTAAGTTTATTTCATTTTTACCACTCATTTTTCTAAAATAATAATCCTACAAAGACTAAACATTTCTTAAATTTGGGTAAAAACATATAATACTTATAATGGAAATTTTTAAATTTACAATTCGTAAAAGGCTTTTCTTCATTAACTCATTCTTTTTAAACTATGAATAAATATATAATGCATACATTTATAAAAGGGTGAGCTAAAAGGTAAATTTTGTCCTCATATTTATTATCGCAAAATGCATGATTATATATTTAATAATTCTATATATGTATGTGCGTCAAACAGTTTTTTACATTTCTTTGCAACAACTTTTCGTAGAAATTACAATTTCATGGGGTATGTTAAGTTTGCCACGAAGTTTATAACACCCAGAACGAAACATCGGAGACCCTATAAGTGTATACATAAATGATTAGCATGACAATCTGTATATGAGCAAACTAGTTGCTCAGTTTTTGAGATATCGATCTGAGATTTTGCACACGTTCTTTTCTGCTCGAGAAGCTGCTCATTTATCAGAACCACCAATATCGGACCAATAAAGCTTATCGCTGCCATACAAACTGAACGATCACATTTATGTACTTCTATGACAATATTTTTCATTTGATGAGATATCTTCACGAAATTTGCCATGGGTTACTAACTAAAGAAATGGTGCAATCTTTGAAAAAATTGTTCAGACTGAATAAGTACAGCATATGGTATAGCTGTTATACAAACTGCACGATCGGAATCAAGTGCTTGCACAAGACTTTACAGTATTTTGGTAAAACAAACGCCGTTTCTAAGAAACAATATACATTTATTTTATACATATTCAACCATACTTGGTGACCGTGACGTATGAGTGACATTTTACTACTGGAGCATATTGGTTGTCTATCACCCTGTGGTAGTTTACACAAAGTAAAACTTTTAGCATTAGTTAAATATTTATGAGCGCTAAACTGCAAAGAATCAAATACATCGTGAATTCAGATACAAAGTTGCAACATCGTATTTTGTGCGTATTTAGGAAAATTTCAATAAAAGCTTAATGAAAATAGTACCAATCAACTCCATGTGCGCTACATGAGAATTATTGTAGATTTTTTTTTTTTTTAAGTTAATTACTTATTTTTAACTCTGTGGGAGTAGTAGTGGTTGTTTAAGGTAACAAATATTGCGATAATTCCATTATTAATATTTTAAATGTTTTAAAATGGCGGATACAATATGTATTTAAATCCATAATTCAGAGCTTTGTGTATGAAATTAATTTATTTTGCGCACACACCTAAACCGTACAATTAAAATTACGTATAAAATTGATAGTATTTGCTTTCAATAAATGTTGTCGATATTTAGCAAGTGGGAAAAATACATCAACAGCCATTAATAAATGATTGAATGAAGAAATAAGCGCCTGTACTAATTCAGTAATTTGCTGTCATGAATATGTATGTATACATGCGAGCAAATATTCATGAAAACAGTGAGGCATCCTTTTTGGGATGTGTGAATACTGCTTGGGGCCAAGCAACATATTATTGAGTAAAAGTGTGAATATATATTTTGTTTAATTTTTTGCATTATGATAAGAAAAGACTGGCGCAAAATATGTTTCAATTGTAATAATATTCACAGTGATTTAGTTTAAGGCAATGATTTTGCTATAACGCCAAAAGTAAAACTTATGAAACCCATAAAATATTTTGCACTGATTTAAACATACAAATACATGAAAACGGCTGCAAACAGCTAAACAAAAACTGATAAATTTATGGTTCAGTAATGGGCTGCCTATTTAATAATTAATATAATTTAATGCATCCTTTCGCATTTGCAACGGTACTGCGCATATTTGTTCTGTACATACTTTATTAAGTAAGCTTAATAAGTAAGCTATAAAGCACAATAGTTATGGCAAATTGAGTTCTTGTATATGCACGCGCACACCCACATACATTCAGCGCTAACTTTAGCAACAAAAGCCAGTTGTCTCCATTGTTAGCTGCTAGATATGCGTTAAATTTAAGACCAACACACTGTCAAGTAGCTTTGCTCTCGTTGATCGCATTAACGCTACATTGCATTACATTGAATTGCAAATTGATCGTAAGATTATTCACGCCAAACGCCCATTCCCCCTTTCGCTTTAACTATTGCTCAATTGAGTGCAACTGAGGATGACAAGCATCGACTACACTGAGCACGAATTTGATGTTTTAATTAAAATTACAAAGTGTAACCAATAAAAGTCGCTGGAAATTTCTTCACGCGGTGCAAGGAATTATAATAATAAAGTAAGGAAAAGAAGTTGGAAATGCAAATCGCAAGAATGTTAATTAAGTCATACAAATAGGTGAGAAAGTTTAAAAAGTATCTGCTTCGTTCAGCATGACTGTGTGTGTGTGAGCTGAATAAAATTCTAAGATAAGCTTAAAATGTGGAAAACTCAGACTGAGACGTTTACAAAAAGAAAGCATGCACTTCTTTTAATATTCGTATGGTAAGGAATACCTGGACTCGAGAAAGACTTTAATTCAAGAAGTACTATGGATGCAACGCGAGTTCTACCAGAAAAAACCATTCTTTGTATGCAGTGCCAAATCCAAAAATTATTAAATCAGAGTAAGATAGTCTGAAAATACTCAAATGAAAAACAAAATATATACAAACTATTCCTGTTTGGCTGCCATATTACGGTTTTTCTTTTTTGAACATTTTTGAAATCAGATCCACTTGGAGAATCACCAAAAACGATAATTTTACAATATAAAAAATATATATAAAAAAAAAATGACTGTGTGGCCTATTGGAATAAATTTGTAGTAGTAAATTAATTTTGATTTTTTTTCAAGATGAAGTATGTAATTAATTATATTTTATATAAGATCGGGATCATTAACATCCATTTTTGGCAATAAATGACAAAGATGTCTACATAACTTCATAAGGATATCTCACAGACTCATATATAGAATGTTAGCCGGAAGATCAAAGAGCCTTATATATTTTCGATATTAGAGCTTCTTAACCCGCTGAATTTAAATTCGAGATCTCTAGCGATGCTTGAAAAAAAGTGAAAAAAGCTAAAAGTCGTAGTTGTGGTTCGATTTAAGCGGCTATATTTAAACTAAATTATAAAGATGTATGTATATTACAATTGAAGTATTTAATTTGTAAACTCATCTATACAAATAAGTTTTTGGCGCTTTCAATTTTTTTTAACACTTTGTCTCCTTTTCAATAGATTACAATGTACTCATTCTATTAAGGGTGGGCGTGCCTATTTTCAGATTTTATTATTAAATACGAGTTACGTATAAGAGCGTAAAGGTAGAAAAGTTCTTAACCTCAAAAAGGCTTATATAATTAATACTTTCGAAAAGCTTATTACATCACACTATTTTTGCCTTATCAAAGAACGAACACAATTAATTAATCCGTATTCTGATTAATTAATCAAATATTAATGTAAGTCATGGCAACAAATTTCGTACAGTGTGTAATAAAATCGACAGTAATGACGACGCACATTACGCCAAACCAAACCACACAAATATGGCCGCTTAAGTAAGGCGCTTTACCGATATTAAGCTGCACGAGCAGAGCTCAAAGTGTCTATACAAACACAAATCCTAAATTATTTGTCCAAACTGGGCCCAACCTTATCTTCACCAATCCACACAAACACACACACACATAATTGAATAATACTGCTTAGTGCCATGCTAGGCTGGTGAGAATCAATAGAATTTGAAATGTGAGATGTCATCCCAAATGAAAACGTGATACTGGGCGTAACCACCATCACGCTGCTACGAGTATTGTATAATTACATAACTTACCGCTTTTGTCGCAAGCAGGACAGCATCTCCTCGTTGTCATCGTTTAAGGGACAATTGAGCGTGTGAGCGATTTGCATAGTGAGCTGAAGCGAATGATTACTGACCGCCCAGTCTGACATAGCTGAACCCGACATAAGTATGGCGCGGTGAAAGAGTCCTAGAGAGGCGGTGTTAGCCCGTCAAAGTGAAAGACAAAGGCGCCAGCCAGCAAGCGTTGCGCAGCCAAGCGGGTCACAGCGACAATATGAAAAGTAGAGGAGATTCAATTAATTTAAATGAAATTGAAGTGTAAATATGTGATAAGTGACAGGATATCGTGTCTTCGTGAAAACCCATTCACAGCGGTAGCTTGACACCTGTCCCCGTGTATATGTGTGCGTGTACGACAATTATTGCCTACCGGATGCAACAGGCGATATCATCAAATAATTTACGCACGCAGCACCTGTGCTGTGTCCCATGAGCGTTACGCTGTCCTTATCGCCGCCGAAAGATGCTATATTCTCCTTAATCCAATGCAAGGCGGCAATTTGATCGAGTAGTCCGAAATTCGCGACAGTATTCTCATCAATACTGGGCTTCAGAAAACCTGTGAAATACGAATAATTTCAATGAGAAAAGGAAAACTGTAGTAAGTTACGATAAAAGAGAACAAGGACAGTTCAATTGTATGATAATATAATGTGTTTTATTTTTTATTAAAACAAGAAAAAATGTTAACATCGTCTGCTACCTTTTACAGGTGCACTTTTTTTTTTAGCATAAAAGCGTATAAAAAACGTTATCTTGATATATTTGCTATATATATATTTGCTATAGTAGTCCGATATAAGCAATTAGCTTTGAATTTGGACTTAGAATACGTAAAATTTTGTGAAGATATATTTTTAAATAAAAAAGGGTTTCAAACAAGAACTTGAATTTGATTGTTCAGTTTGTTTAACAGCTGTATGCTATAGTTGTCCGATATCGGCGATTCCAACAAATGAGTAGGTTCTTTGTGAGAAAAAGACGTGTCCAAAACTTCGGATCGATATCTTAAAAACAGAGGGACGTATATACACGTATATATAGACGGACATGGCTAAATCGACTCAGCTCATCATGCTGATCGTTTTTGTTGGGTCTCCCCCTTGAGTGTTACAAATTGTGTGGCAAACTTAATATATCCTATTCAGGGTATGTATAGTTGACCAACTCGCTGAAATTGATAAGCTTGAGTTTTCTTTGTCTTGTCTGCTTAATTCTTCATGGTCGCATTGCAAACGTAGTAAGACTCCTAAACGACTCCGAGACTATACCCAATTCCTCTAAATCGTTTAGTATAATGTTTAATAACTGACGATAAAGTTTCCAAAAAATATTAATAGCATCGCTTGCAAGGATCTACTACATCACTCATTAATTTTTTTTTTTTGATAATCCTAGCAAATATCCGGCACTACCGGAATATCATTTACCAAAAAAAAAGAAGATTTTGTGGCATAAAAATTTCGATTTGGCACCTAGGAATATTTTGGTATTCGGTCGAAACAAAATAAGCGGAAATGATTTTTTAAACCATGCTATTTTGCTTGGCTGTAATAATACTCGGAAGGATTTGTCTGTCAGGAGAAGCTTCTCACAAAAGCTCATAATTATTTGTGCCATGCCTGTTTGGAATTTAGTCGACATTGAATACATTGTATAATATAAAATTCTACATGAATTTAAGAAATTTTCGATTAGTCAATTTTATTAGACTTTAGGTATCCTCAACTAAGCCAAAACGCCAACAAAAACACTTTAATATGAGTATCTAACTTTAGTTTTAATACAAGCTGATATTTTGTCGCGCACCAATTTACTTGATTTTAATCTATGAAAAAGGTTAAACATGTTCTACATCGAAAAATACAGACAGTTATACCCTATTGTATATACATATGTCTGCAATTATATATAAGTATTTTTTACTGAAGTATACAAATAAAATAGCAACTTTGCACTTACCCATTACACCGAGCCGATAATTAATGGTAACAACAATGACTTGCCCATAGCTGGCGAGCACTGAGCCATCGTAGGGATTACCACTATTCCACTCAAAAGATTCGCCATGCACGTACACCATTACCGGTAAACGTTTTGTGGATTGTGTGTCCATATCGTAGGCGTTGGACGTGTCGTATACAGCATCTGCAGCGAATACAAGAAAAAGTTGTACGGCATTAAATTTGACTTTGTTAAATGGATTGGTAGGCGAATGTTGTGCGAAAAAAAAGGTGTCAATATACTGACACATAACTCCATGTAAGCGTAGAGGGAGCAATAAGCACTCGAACACGATGGGAGTTTAAGGTTAACACGCGGCAGGTATTCATGGCATTACACAAATATAATGCGATATATCCGTGTATTTGTACACATACAACACATATTCATATCTAGATATACATATAATTGAACTTACCCACACGCGGCACAAACACATTCAGGTAAAGGCAATCTTCGCTCTCCGTCTTCAGGTAGGGTAACAGGCGTGTCAATTGCTTGTAACGACCGCGTGACATTTTCACACTTCCCTGCGCCGTGACATCGGGCAACTGCTGCAAGCAGACTGGTGGCAAATGACGAGCCATTTTCAATCCTTGCCATGGCAATGGTGCACCTACACAAGCGTGAGTAAAGAAAGTAAGAAAACAGAAAAGAAAAAAAATGTTAACGAATGCTGCTAAATTAAGCGAAAGTGTGCGTATAAAAAAAAAGTGAGGTAGAAAGATAGATGATAGTGTAGGAGTATAAGTGTAAGTACGCTTAAGTAAATTGCAGTTGCTCAAATAAATTATAACGATTTAATTAACTATTTGAACATGACGTTGATTTAAGTATATAAACCGATTTGTGATAGGTTCAAAATGCCTTGTTGAGATTTACTATGGATATTTTATTTAATTTTTTGGATAATTGCAGGCATGACTTTTGTGATACTAAAAAGTCATTAGACGTATCTAAAACACTTGATTATTTAAAAAAAAATCTAAAGACGGCTTAAATCTTTATCGAAAGTGGGCGCTTAAAGTCGTTCAACTGAGTTAGAACGATTTTAACTTAGACTGGTATTTGTTTACATTAAGCATATCTGGTCAGAAGAGAGCGTGATGATCAGTGGGTGCGTTACCGCTTCAAATAATAATGGTTGGTAGAAAAAAGAGGCGCAGAAAGGCCAGACCGCAGGCAGTCCTACTTGAATCATCATTAGGCCAATTGTGGAAATTTTAAGTAATTTTCTGGAAATGAATTATCTTCAGAGTAGGCGCGCTGTGATGACCCCTATAGTATTACTAAGTTCCTTTTTGCCTAGAAGTACAAGTAGAAGTTTTTTGGTCTGTTCACTATCAACACTACCCAAAGTAACTTTGATGTGCCTCTATGATCCATTGCTTCAAACAATCTTTGAAGGGACTGATTGCTCTAGGCCAGTTTAGGGGAATGATGTCTCTAGCTGCGGCCGAGCGGGCAAACTAGCATTCCTTTGCACTTGCTTCTATTCCTGTTATATGACTGCGAACTCTGTTAAATAATATCAAATATTTCTAAAACAATTTATTTGTCCTACTTCTCTGGTTACGTTCTTATGACATAGTAGTTGTACCCTAGTGAAATTATTCTCAAATTTTGTTTGGAATGTTTCGATTTTATTTTAACACTCAAGTGTAAGCAGAGCTCGAGCAGAGAAGTGTCATTAATTTTAGCGTCAGTTTGTATACTCTTGCAACATGCTGCTACAGAGTATAATCGTTTTTCTCACTTTACGGTTGTTTGTATCACCTAAAACTATATATATGTATATATAAATGATCATGATGACGAGACGTGTCCAAATCTGGATGTCTGTTTGTTGGTCCATCTGTCCGATTGCCCATATAACGGTTCTATTAAAAACTACTGAAAGCGCGAGAAATTAATTATTGAGCGCGCCAGAAACAAAAAAAATTACACCTATAATGACACAAAAGAACTTTTTAAGAATTGTTGTAAAATTTAGACAATGGGCGTGGCTCGGCCCATATTTCGGTGAAAACTCATATATCTGCACCTACTCAACCGATATCGACCAAATTTGGTACGTAATACTTTTATTATCTTTGCAATCCTATTTTTCAATGATGTAAATGGGCAAAATCGGACAACAGCCACGCCTACTTCCAAAATAACACAATTTTAAATTCCATCTGATTCTTTCACTTTCCAGTATGCAAAAAGTACCTTTGAGGTACCCCATCTTTTTCTCAACAATTTTCTAAATCGGACTAAAACTATTCAAGCCCACAGATACCGAATATGTTGACCACAGTTCCTGAAGCGAACATTTTATAGAAAATATCGGTCAATCTGTGAGACATATTATAGAAATTCGAAGATCATTTTACTCTGATAAAAATTTTTCTATATGTCAAAAATGGCTTGTATCGGGTCAAGGATTATAGCCTCCTTATAATTAATAGAAAGATTTACGTCTGACTTTATATCGCATATATCGGCAAATAAATAATGTATCTTAGACTGAACGTATACGTATATATAGATAGCTTTTGGAAAACTCACTCCAGTATAATTGTAAATATGTAACATAGAACGCTCTAAGCCAGTTGGGATTAATATATAATCGATTTTTTGTGCTTAATGTCCACTTTAGGTTCCTAAAGCCATTATTCACTGCGAAATCCGCTATAGCGTCGAAGCGTCTGGGTCAGACAGCTTATGACTACAAAGCTTTAAACATGTTTTTCTTGAAACTGCAATTTTCAAATATATTTTTTTATTGTTATTATTTATTTATAAAGAGTATACTGTACCTTCATTGATTAAAAATTTAATTTTTTTTAACAAAACCGCACTATTGATGTTCACTACAAATTGATGTAAAGCTAAAAACAATCGTACTTTCGTCTTAAGTTTTGTGTAGATTAAATCTAATTTTTTATTTTCTTTAGTTACCACCAGCTGTTGGAAATATCGTCGGCTCTAAGGCCTCCTGTGAAGCCTTCCGAAGATAGACACACTAAACGTTGCTTTCACACCACCACTCAGAGACCTGTTTCTTATGGATTTAAAGGAGGAATTTGATTTCTAATTACTTACACTCCGAATAAGTGCTCAAAGTGGGACTTTTATTAAGGCTCAAGATTTATCTAACCCCTAAAGCTTGAAGTAGTCAATTGAAATCTTCGCTACAGAGTAATCTTTTTGCGGCGAGTTTCGAATGATGGTTTCAGCTATTACCGCTGCTTGAAATGTAGCCAGAGCTGACATTAGACTTCCCGTAACCTTTTAAATGGGTGCATTTGAAAAAGAAATTTTAATTCAACAATTCTTGAATCATTGATAAATTCCATACAGACATATATGCCATACATATTAATAAAAATGATGGCACACCCTGAAAACGTACAAAATGTATTTATTTATTTTGTATCTACAAGTATACAAGTATGTAAAGTATATTTGTATACGCTGTAGTAATAGACTATTATGTTACTACATGGTATAGATGTCCAACGGCGTCAATTCTGGGCCACATACCAATTGCGTACGCTTATCTATTTCGTAGCTTTACTTTCAAGTGCGAAAATTGAAGCAAAAAGAATAACATGATATATACCTGTGGATATCTTCACGTTCTCCATAAATTTGTATATGTTATGTAAGCCACACTGCGTCTATAGACATATATTGAGGCACTATGTTCAATTCACGGAATTTCAATATTTTGCATTTATTGTTAGTTGAATTTAATAAATATTTTTCGCCAAACATTCAAAGTATTTGCAGTAATATTCGCATGGTGTTTTGCAGAAAGTGCTCATCAAAGAGGAATGCTCGCAAATTTTTATTTTTGTAGATACCTGTGTACTTACGTCTATAAATATAATGTTAAAGAAGCACAACTCAATGGATAAGTTTCTAAACATGAGTATGATGCGCTGTTTAAGTGAGGCCGCGGAACTTACAGAGAAATAACGGCTGTTTGAACGAATACCAGAGGAGCGCATGATTGGTATACCAAATATGCTGAAAAAGCATATGTGTACCTGTCTAAATAATTATGCAAGATTGTTCATACACCTATTAACTTTAATGTTAAATTATTTTCTGACACAGGCAATGACTACTGTTATTTGTTTATTTGTTCGGGTTGCTGCAGCTATTCTTATATCTCTGTGTTTGTGCATGTGCGCGTATGTATCACTCGTTTGTTTTATTATATTTCTATTTACTTTGACGTCTGGAACTCTGTTTGCCCACGTGTAGCGCTGGCACAGGCGAATATTTATTATGCTTAAGCGCGCGGGTGTATTAAGTGGATTGTTTAGCAAGATGCCATCACATTTTTGGTGTACTCAGTGAAATGTCTATAATTAAATTTTATTTTTTTTTATGACTGAAATATTTGCCGCAAGTTATTTCAGGAACAAGGTGGGTGTTACTCTATTAAAACAAGAGTTTCAGCTGATGCGGTGGGTTGGGTTTTGATAATCTTAAAATTCTTTAATGTGAGAGTTGCTGCCTTCTTGGTTCTCACAAATCTTAAATTATCACTAAACGAGTTTATTATCTTATAAGTAGAAATATTAAAAATAATCATAAAGCCGCTGATTAAATTATTAGACAATTCACCATATTTCCAGCATATACTTCTCTAATATACTACAACTAGTGCTACCTCACTTCCAACTTGTTATTGTTAAAGAGCTGTTAGTGGCTTAAAGATTCACAAGCAACATATTGTATAGCCTTCCTCCAGGGAATTAATTTAGAAATGACACGGCGTATACGTAATGTCGGAAATATTCCATGTCAGTAGGTTTGAACACTACATACACAACAAAAGTTAACTACAACAATGAACGCGTGTGCTAAATATGCACGTCTGCATCTCACCTGATATATACAAATATACCTTAAACATACTCGCTCCACACACAATTGGCGTATGTGTTAGACGCAACTGCTCTATATATGTCTACCATCAGGTGATGTAAATAACGGCAGGATACGCGTGCGACCTCAAGCTGATGACCGCTTCGACAAGATGCGGTTGCATGACCAAAAGCAACCAGCTACCAACATTGCCAACATTGAGTGTATGTGTTTTAGAATGTATAATTGCACCATTTAGATTATCTGCATCTACATATGTACAAGTATGAAGGTGAATTTTAGTGCTAATGCCAAATACGCACTCTTAGATGTGAGTACTCAACACTTAACACTCCGAGTGTGCAACTCGTGAACAAAACAGAGCAAATATACATTCGTGTCTAAGCAACAACGCCTAGTGCTCCTGCTAATTATAGTCACACGTCGATTTAATTGAGTGGTCAGTGCTTTAGGGCGCCCATTAAAGCAGTCAAACTAACACCAGATGCTGCAAATCGATAGCTGGTATATTTAGCTTATTTTAATGTTTACTAGCAGTCTATTAGTCGCACTAATGTGTGGGATTACTTACTCGAATGCTAAACGGGCTACAAGGCACATTGGTTAAGCCAGTGATTATACATAATCAAATACAATTACTTTTCATACACAAATTTTGTAAATATTGTATTATGTGTGCACTTTCGTTTGCTTCAATTAAAGTTTTATGCTTTAATGACACACATG